TTTGCGATTTTCTACGAATGCCTTTTGCTTTAAGAAATGCTGCTCAAACCTTCCAAAGGTTTATAGACGACGTCTTCCGAGGTCTCAACTTCGTACATGCGTATGTTGATGACTGTTTGATAGCAAGTTCGGACAGAGAATCACATCTCAAGCATCTGGACATTGTTTTCGATCGACTCCAAAGGCATGCCATTACTGTGAACATTCAGAAATGCCAAATCGGAACTAACTGCTTAGACTTCTTAGGACACACTATTGATGCCCAAGGCATCCGACCCCTTAGAAGCAAAGTGGCGGCCATTCTGGATTACCCAGAATCGACCACGATCAAGCATTTGAGAACTTTTAACGGACTACTAAATTTCTATAGGCGGTTCATACCCAAATGCGCATCCCTTATGAAACCGTCAACTGACCAGCTTCGTGGAAATTCAAAATCAATTGGTTTAGACGACATAGTCCGTAAAGCATTCTCCACAGTTGAGGAACACATCGCTAAAGCAATCCTGCTTGCTCATCAGGACACTCAAGCCCCCATTAGTATCGCAGTAGACGCATCCGATTCAGCAATCGGAGGAGTCTTACAACAATTGGTTAACAACTCGTGGCAACCTTTAGGATTTTTCCCAAGACGGTTGCTAGACGCGGAATCTAGGTACAACACGTTCGGTAGGGAACTCCTAGCTATGTATTGTGCTGTACGGCATTTCCAACATTCCATCGAAGGAAGAGAATTCACGCTTTTTACCGATCACAAACCTCTTACCTTCCCTTTAAGTTCATCCTCAGACAAGTACTCACCGCGAGAGTCTCGACAACTCGACTACATTTCGCAGTTTACTTCAGACATACAACATATTTCTGGAGCAAACAATGTAGTTGCAGACGCCTTGTCTCGAATTAGCTCCTTGAACAGTTTCCAAGGAATCGACCTTCTTAAACTCGCTCAGCTTCAAAACGAAGACATTGATCTTCAGCATGAGTTATCCTCGACAACTCTTAAACTAAGTATTAAGCAGATAGGAATCACTCGCTTCCGAACGACCGCCTACCACCCACAAGCAAACGGGTTCGTAGAACGTTTTCATCGACAATTAAAAGCTTCATTATCAGCTTCAAAAGTTTCACGGTGAACAGACGCTTTTCCACTCGTCTTGCTAGGTATTCGCAATGCAGTGAAAGCTGACATTGGATACACTGCATCTCATCTAGTTTACGGAACGAAACTCCGACTCCCAGGAGAATTCGTGGATCCTTCAGCTTCTTCATTGAACATGGATCTAAACTCTTACACGAGTAGGCTTACAAACGCTCTGAGTTCAGTTAAACCTGCTCACACTCGACCTCAATCAACTGATGTTTTCGTTCAAACTGAATTGCGACATAGTACACACGTTTTCGTTCGTCGAGACTCACATCGACGAAGAGTAGGATTTCCAGAACATCTTAACGAATATTGCACGTAGGACACAGGTTTTATCTTGAATTACCCTTTCATTGTTTATTATAAAAAAATTTTAATATGCTTATTTTTTTATTTATATAAAAAAACCAAAAAGAAAACAAAACATTTTTATTTTTTTGAGCGCATTTATATATTTTTTTATATGTATAAAAAAAACACATTTTTTATTCCGATCGCTTTTACGCTGTTTGCAAGTGTATTAGTTTATTCATTTTTTCCCCCTATCATCTTATATCTTTACGCAAGTACGAGTGTATTTTCGACATGCGCTCATACGTTTTCTTTTTCCTTTTTTCCAGGACAGCTGAAAAAGAACAACGAAGTTTCCCAAGGAACCGAAATATTCATTGTACTATATTTCTTTATTGCTATATTGTACATTTTGGTCCCATAGTTTAAGGAAAGACGACCAGGCGAAACGAAGCAAGCTATCAGAAGAGTGTTTACCAACGACGAACTCGTTGGATTGAAACTTCTGGCTGGTCACGTCTTAGGGGCATCACTGCATCACTAGGGGATGAATGATTTGTAGCTGTAACTAATTCCTCAAAATCAATAGCTCATCAAGTGTTCAAAATTGGATGCTGATCACGTTGTTTAAGTGGACTTGTTTAACTGAAGGCTTTCGGTCATGCATCCGTACAAGATCACGTTTCAACTGGGCGTGGGACACTGCTCCTACGTTCATTAGTCAGCCTATAATAAAGGTTCCTCGATATATTGATAACGTATCAAATATATCTTTCCTACCTCTTCTCGTCTGACTTCTGATTTCTGGTATAATTTCCAAATTTTTATTGAAAACAAAAAGTTCTTCAATGTACAAAGTTATGATTAGTTGGCAGATGGTAGAGAATCAATGCTCCTTATGTAATTGTCATTGTCACGGACCAGGCATTTCACGTATTCATTCTTTCCACCAGGCCTGTTGGACTATGGAGAGTCAAACAATTCTTGTGAATTCTATAATGTGATGAAGAAAAACGTTACTAAATCTAGGAAACTTGTTTTGCACAACAAGGTACTTGAAGCTGAACTTACGGTAATATTCTTGAACACGGAAGACTGTACCTATAGATAATGCAAAAACAGTAATCACTTTAAAGCAGTACATACGGGTTCTTTGTTCCGTCGATGACGCTTCTGGACTTTGTCTCTCATGTCGTGGAAATAACTTTGCGTAGCCATGTCATATAGTTTCGCAAGGTCTTTCTCGTTGACAGATGACGACAGGAATCGATTAGTCAGTGCACCTGAAGTTTAAAAACCTTATTTATCTTACTTCGTACGCAGCCGTAAAACCTGCACTTCTGAATCGCTCGTTTTGATGAAGCACCCAGTAACGTGAAATTAATGGCGATTTCAGGTTTCATGATGTAGGACAGAAGCTGTCGCATGGAGCTTTAGGATCATCATCCATTACACGTGTCAACATGGCCATCTGTAATAGGAATGAAGGATAAAAATCATGTTGTGTGCTTACAAATCTGTCCCTCACGTCTTTTTGCTCTAGACAAGCGTCCAAAGTTCCCAGTTCCTATTCAGATGACAAAGGGAACTGTTGGCTGGATAGTCCACAGTCAAATTGACGCGGATCTTTGCGGTCAGTAGACCTTGAGAGCAGCAGCTTCATATTTGTATTCATTTCACTCAAGCCTGCTGAGCCATTGTAATGCACGGTGATCTGTGCGTACACGGAAAGGTTTACCTAGTAAATAATGGCGGAAATGTTGTAAGAATTTTACTCATGCTAACATCTCTCGACGCGTTGTCGAATATCTTGTTTCGCTCTTATACAGTCGACGGCTAGCGTACGCAATGACTCTTTCTTGCCCATCTGGGGCCACTTGTGATAGAACTGCTCCAATAGCGGAGGAATTGGCATCCGTATCAAGTGCAAATTCTCCCCCGCTTGCTGAGGTATCCGGAACGGCTAATATGGGTGGAGAGCTTAGTCGTGTCTTCAAAGCATCGAACGACTGTTGACACTGTAGTCCATAAAAATTTTCGTCCTTTGTGCGTCAAACGGTGTAAGGGTGCTGCTAACGATGCAAAGTCACGGACAAAGCGTCTGTAGTAAGAGGCTAGGCCAAGAAAGCTACGGACATCTTCAGGTGATTTGGGCTGTGGCCAATTAACAATGACACGTGTCTTTTCTTTATCGGTGCCTACTCCATCTGCAGTGATACGATGTCCTAAGAAAACTACTTCTTTCTGCAGCAGGCGACATTTGGACGGTTTTACTTTTAGGTTGTGTTGTTGAAGGCGATGGAGAACTGCTTTCAGATTAGCATTATGTTGCTCGGGTGTGCTACCATACACAATAATGTCATCGAGATAAATCAAACATTTATGAGGTACCATATCTCGTAAAACTGTTTGCATTAATCTTTGGAAGGTAGCTGGGGCATTTGTTAGACCGAAAAGCATTACTTGGAATTCGTATAAACCATTTGGCACTACAAATGCGGTTTTCTTTCTATCTTGTGGTCTGACTTCCACTTGCCAGTACCCTGATGCTAGGTCTAACGTTGAAAACCAACATGCGCCACTCAAAGCGTCTAATATAGCATCGATTCTCGGAAGAGGAAAAGAGTCACGCTTAGTTATAGCGTTAAGGCGTCGATAGTCTATGCAGAGACGCAGAGAGGAATCTTTCTTTTTAACCAGGACGATAGGTGATGCCCAGGGGGATGATGACGGTACTATAATATTCTTGTCAAGCATATCCTTTATCATCGTATCCAGTTGTGGTTGATAGTGTACTGGCACTCTACGAGGCGGTTGCCTAAGTGGCCTGTGGTCCCCCGTGCAAATGGTGTGTTGCACCGTACTCGTGCGATTGCCGGAAATACTCTCTTCGAATACCGAACTAAACTGTTGAAGCGCGGCAATCGTTGCATGTAGATCTTTCTCTTTTAGTATTCGGTTGCCGTTTACTTGCCGCACCAGGTCTGAGATTCCCACATATGACACAGCTTTAAATGACGTGTCAGTATGGTGCAGGCGTATTTTAGTCTCTCCAAATTTTGCTTCCAAGCTGTCCATGAATATACCAGCTTTATGTTCTAACATGAAATCGACTCCGAGTATCATATCCCAAGTCAATGTCGGACAAACTAAAAATCCATGACGGAACGGATGTCTATCTATCGTTAGGTCCAACCATACCTTAGAGTTCACTTTCAATGGGTTTCCGCTCGCTGTGAGTAATGTGGATGGGTATCGCGTCTGTTGGACTTTATGGTTAAGCCTTCCTAAAAGCTCGCTCTTAATTAGGGATACTGACGCTCCGGTGTCTAATAAAACTTCGATATCGATACCCTGTACTCTAGCCTTAATCGTGATGGGACGCACATGGTTAGCATAAGATAAATGGAAAATTTACGGCTTACTTTTGTTACCAAAACGATTAGGACCACATTTCTTTGCATTTTTGCCAAACCTTCGACAGTACGGGCATTCGGATTGACGACCATGATAACTATTCGTTGATCTCCACTTCTTCTCAGCGGGACTGAAATGTCTTCGACTGCTGCTCCAGTGGGAAGACTGGATTACGTCGGGTATGTGTTGAGGGTTCAGTGGGCGACTCGCTTTTGTGGGTTGCATTGCTGCCATCGCGGTTGGCTGGTGCATGTCCATTGGGCTTTTTAGCTGCTAGGCTGCCATGAACCGGAATGTAGTTTTTTTTAAGGAATTTATATCTGTTGGAGGGTTCAGTAGGAAGTGTTCCTTTAAGGAACTGGATAGTAACCCTTCCACGAACCGAGACTTGATCAATTCATCTCTTCCAGTGGCATCAAGACAAGGGAACGCTTGCACAGCCATCTTTTGCAAAGAATTAAAATAATCCATTGGATTCTCGCCGGGTGTTTGATGTCGTGACAAAAATCGGATGGCTGCTTGTTGGGGATCCACCTGCGTCGAAAAACAACCGTCGAGAATCTTCCAGTTCTGAGCGAGAGTATTGTCCGCCGCAAACCCGTTGACCATAGCTCTCTTGGTAGCTTCGTCTCTGAGGTAGGACACCAGATAATCGAATTGTTCCGAAGCTGGAACTTTACGAAGATATGCTGTGACTTTGAACTTCCACACTGTATAGTCTGACGAGTTTTCCAGGAGTGGCGGTTGACGGGGAGCTGAGCCAGTAGTTGGCTTGACTGGAATCACCGGCGGTTCGTCCAGGTTTTCATCGCGTTTTTTAGTGAACACCTCCATCACCAGTTGTAACACGTGGAATCAGCAGTTAGAGAACAGCAGTACAGATCTGAAAAACAGCACAGCACACAATGTTAAACGAGGACTTCACACCAAGAGAGAACACAGTGAGAATCACGAGCCTCTTTATTTCAAAATCAAAAAGCGCGGTGTGGTGTGTACAGCGGGAAGAGTCAGTTTACAAAGTAGTCTTATGAGTCATCCTGTAAGCTTAATGTACATATGGCTTGCTCTTCTTCCTCTAAAGAGTTTACGTTTGGTCGCCCTGCAATAGAAAGAAAATAGAATGCATTAGTATATCATACATAGCAATTTCAACTCCGTTACAAGTAAGATTGTTGAATTGACCTTATTTGTTTATCTGTGTTTATGGGCAACGCAGTTTCGTCGGGCGAAGAGTTCTCATTATTAGCATAGCACACTTGCAACACTACCAACAATTCATTGGCTGATTTGAGACTTTCTACAAGAAGCGATAATTTGCATGTCTGTAACTAACCGCATTTGTGAACAATACTGCACTTGAACATAGACCAATTTTCTTCGGGAAGGTCATTGTTCAATGTTCTCCCTGGGATACAGACCGTTTTTCTCCAATCACCCACAGTTCCGCTGCAATCGCGAACTTACTTTTGCTTTGTGTCTTAACGATTACGTACTTATTGATTGGAGACTAAATATAACATAACAGGAAATTTAAGAAAATACAATTACATAACAGTGTGCAACAAAGGGACAATAACCAAATGATTAACACAATTAATGGACATACATTTACAGTCAACATCACGAATGGAAACCCAATTGTAAGCACTGCTAACTACGGAGCATTTAAATATTCCTATATCAGTTGAAGGAAATGGATCAGTAAAATAATTTTGTGGGTTAGTAAATTGCCTGAATTTTAATAGTCCACTATCCTGAATATCAGTAATCAATCCCGGCTTTCCGTTTACTACTACAACGTTATCAGGCTGAAATGAATTTATTTGGCTATTCATAAACATCATTACTTGCCTGCGTGAGTCAGCCTTACCTATCACTGGGTTATCATTGGTCGAAATGTCAACCTGTAGCCTATCGCAGAAAGACATTTGTTCCGCATAACGCTGAGCTGCTTGCTTAGCCACGGAATACCCACTGTGTACGGATTTCTTAATTTGTCTCATATAAGACTCGAATGGAAATGCTGAGTAGCTATCTAGCGGTCCATGTGCTAGAACATCGTCAGGAAGATGCTGTAGCGAATGCACATTATAAACTAAGTTCTCACATCCGTAACACCATTCATATTCTCTTAAAAAATTCCTTAAATCCATCCTGACAGATTCTGTAACCCTATTATAAAACTGAGGATGTGCAAGCAAGAACATAGACAAAGCAAGAAATTTAAAATTTATATACAAAGGTTCAGGCAGAATATTTTGAAGAATAACCGGGCTTAAGTATAGAAGAAACAACCTACACTCTGACGCTTTCCATACGGATACGTAGTCTAGTGTTCGACATTTACGCTGAAAGTCAGAGGGAGTACTTTCTACACACCGAGATATCAACTTATTTATGGTCCTAATTACACATGAGTTCATGTTCTTTAGCCTCTTGTGTCCTAATTCTATCCAGAGAGTCAAAAGTTTGTTTGTGACACCTAAGTAAACCATGTGCATGGGATCTAAGGGAAAAGTTGATATCATGTCTATTGGTAGACTTTCGAATAAATAATGTCCTTTATGGTGAATATATTGTGTCTGATTACTGAAACTGTCGTCAGTTCTTAACGTATATTCACCGTTTGGGAAAGTCATCTTTCCATCAAGTCGTCTACCATTAACAACGCACCGGTCACAACCTGCCTTTCGTTGTGATTAACAGTGTACCTAACATCAGAACGAGCCAGTGCATCACATATTACTGCAGTTAACTTAATAGCTATGTATTTATTGAACCTTACACCTAGTAGACCCGTTTCAGCCATTTCTTTTATTTCAGAAATAGTGTCGGCAGAAATTTCGTTGAATCGTGCCGGCTTAGTATTCCCTCCGTAGATCCCTATCATGAAAACATCACTAAGTCTAGGGGCAAAGATCCTTCCTAATATAGGCCACAAATGTTGACTGGAGCTCCTTGACATAGAAAGCCCATCTACATTAATATACAATTGCAGAGTGTCGAAATCACAAGTACACAACCAACGTTCAACATGAGCAATTCAGTCTTCAGTAATAAGGATAGGAGGTCTAGTGACCTATTTTAATCCTTGCAGTTTGTTACACTGTGGAGGTCCAATCTCGTCTTGAATATATCAACAGAAGGTGCTGATATTACGTGTTCTGGTAGAGAATTCCAGTAATTCACTACTCGGTGCGAGAAACGAAACTCCAGACGTAGACGATTTGACCTCGGTTTTTGAACTTTCTTTAAATGTCCTCTCAAATGATCAGCCCTAGACGGGAGGAAAAGATAGGACATGTTAGTACCAAGGTCATCGTTCAGGATACGATATGCCAATATTAGATCACCCCGTATTCGCCGGTAAGATAACGGAAATAAGTTGAGGTGTCTCAGTCTGTCTTCATAAGATAGGCTAGATAAGCCTTTTACCATTTTTGTCCCGCGGCGTTGGACTCGTTCCAACATATCCGCCTCATATTTGAAACAAGGACTCGCTGCTTGAATCCCATATTCCAAATGTGGTCGTACGAAAGTTGGGTATAATAATCTAATCATTTCCCCATCCAGATACCGGAAAGATCTACGAAAAGAACATAATACCCTATAGCCTTTTGCAGCAGCAGCCTTACAGTGACTGGTTGTTTTGAGATCATTACTTAGTATGACTCCTAAATCTTTATAGTGTCTTACTTTGGGCAACACTAGTCCACATATTGTGTAGTGATACGAATCATCGTAGTTATTTAATTGCATCACAACACTTTTATTAGGGTTTACTTCTAGTGACCACCCATTCATCCATGCAACTAATGAGTTAAGATCTTCCTGTAAAACTATTCTGTCTGACATACTATATATGGGTCTCCAAATCTTAATGTCATCGGTGAATAGTAGGACGGATGACTTAGCTATAGCTGGTAATTCATTTATATAAAGTAAAAAGAGAAAAGGACCTAAAATCGTGCCTTGGGGGACGCCACTTTTTACTGGTTCCCACGATGAGAGAGCCCAATTTACTCTTACCCGTTGTCTCCTTTCATGAAGAAAGTCACTTATCCAGTCTATGACTGCATAATGAATTCGAAAACTTTCTAGTTTTAATTTAAGACCACAATGGGAAACCTTATCAAATGCTTTACTTAGATCTATGAAAATGACATCTACAGGAATATTGCGATCTTTTGCCTCAGCCCAATCTTCTTTTGCAATGAGAAGATTTGTCAAACATGATAGACCTTTTCGAAAACCATGTTGTTCCTTTGACAAAAGATCATGTCTTTCCACGTAGTTTATAACAGCCATCCTAATAATTTTTTACATTAGTTTTACAACTGCACTAGTTAAGCTAACGGGTCGATAGTTACTAACTAAATCCCTACTCCCAGCCTTATACACCGGACTGATTATTGCGTCTTTCCAGACTGCTGTAGGGACATATCAAACAGTATCGCTAAAGGTTCAGCAATAACATTTGAGAGGGTTTTCATAATCCGAGGATGAATATCATTAGGACCACTAGACTTATCAGGTTTGAGATGCTGAAGTAGGCTTAAAACAGTTTCTTTCTTAATAACTACAGGGTCCATCAACAAGTCGCCACAATCACAATGAATAGGTGATCGTTCCTCATTATTGGTAGAAAAAACTTTACTGAAATATTCCGAAAAAGCTTCCGCTTTTTCGGTATCATTTCTTGCCAAACTTAACGGATTTTCTTGTATCAAAAGTGATGGTATCCCATTACTTCTCTGAGTTCGCCTCTTTATATACGAGAATAACCGTTTTGGACTATGTTTGCAATCCCTAACCAATTGTTTTTCGTATGACCGTCTAATCCTACTAATTAACGCTTTACAAGTATTTCTAATATTACAATAACTGGATCTGTACTGTTCTAAGCCAGTAGAGATGAACATATTCCAGTGTTTTTTCCTACGCCTAAGAAGTTTCTTAACTTCTTTATTTATCCACGGTGGACTATTGTTCGGTCTACGTGGCACCAAGTATGGTATGAACGGGGACGTGACTGCACTAAACTTGCCTTTAAATACAGACCACGCCTCATCAACTGATGAGCTAGTATCTACTGACCAATCTATCTTAGTAGCATACTCCTGAATGGCAGGTATGTTAGTTCTCCATATGTTTGGGCGAGGCTTAATCTGATCGTATATCATATCGCCAGCTGTAAACGTGAATGATAAAACAGCGTGATCGCTATTTACTAACGGGGGAAGAATATTTAGGTTGGCAATATCCTCAGTATCATGGGTAATTACCAAGTCCAACAGAGAACCTTGGTTTACACCAAAACGTGTAGGTTTGGATACATGCTGTACTAATGCATGTTCCATTACTGTTTAAAAGAGCCTGCTATCAAATGAGTTTATAGAGCATTTTGTGGTCATCTCAGTCCAACTAATGTCAGGTGCATTAAAGTCTCCTAATATCAAGCATCTGTTAAGTGCACTCCATAGCCGAATGTGCTCTAAAATAAAGTCATCAGCTAAGCAGATTGGGCAGCGATAGATGACACCGAGCGCAAATGTACAACATCCGACAGTGAGTTCACAGCTAATGACTTCACTAGTTCCACTATCATGGGATTCGCAGACGGAGGAGCGGATATTTATACTATTGGCTATGTATAGAAGGACGCCACCTCCTTTCCTGCATCTATGTCTATCACTTCTTAAACAATGATATCCGGATAATTCCGGGGTGATACCGAAGTCATGGACTAACCAAGTTTCCGTCACAGCTACAATGAGTGGCCTTAATTTGTCCACTAATGTTCCTAGCTCGTAGAATTTATGTTTTAGACTACGGGCGTTGGCATATAAAACTCCTAGAGGGAACGACCTATCCACACAGGCCTTGGTAGCATTCGCTTCTAAGGCCTGACTATTCGAAAACCCACCAATCGGAGATTTTCTTCACCGTTTTGTCGACGGGTTTCTAGTTCAGCTAGTGCCGTCTTCTTTTTTATTCTATCTTCAAGAGACACATCCGGTCGCATTCGAATGTCAGAGTTGTCGTGACTTCGAGCGTTACTTAACAGAAGATTACGTTGTTTCTCCGACCCTAAGATTACCTTAAGGAGTCTACACGGTCGGGGTAGAACACTGTCATCGGCCCTTTTACCTATTCTAACTAACTTTTTGACCTGAACACCTTTAGTGTTATCTGGTAATATGCTACGGATATATTCTCCGAGCCTCTCTAAGTCATGGGTGTGTCTAACCTTGAAATCTGGATCGTTAGACTCTGGCAATTTACTCACAATAATATTCGATGATATTAAATTCCTCTCAGTCGCACTAGGATGATGATCTGCCGTTCTATCAGAGTGCGATAACGCATTGAGTGACTCAGACTGTGAGTTCCTCAATGGCTTGTCAACCAAGCGTGCTTTATCATTAGGTTTTTTCCTTTTCTCTTCCTCTTTACTGCGGTCCATTTTTGGTCATTCAGGACAGCTGCATTGGGACTATTGGGGAC